TATAACTCCAGTCCCAGGGAATATGCCCTCTTCTGGATTCTGAGGGCACTAAACACACAAATGGTACATAGTCACACATACAGGCAAAATGTCAATACATAAAATAAAAAATAAAAAATCTTTGGAAAAAAATAAAGAGAAAATGGGGCCTTTCCCTCAAGAAATTTACAGTTGCTTGTAAGCACTGGCAGGTACAAGGCCATGAGCTTGATCTTCAACACTGTTTTTCTTTTCTTTCTTTCTTTCTTTCTTTCTTTCTTTCTTTTTTTTTTTTTTGAGACAGGGTTTCTCTATGTAGCCTTGGCTGTCCTGGAACTCACTTTGTGGACCAGGCTGGTCTCAAACTCAGAAATCCACCTGCTTCTGCCTCTCAAGTGCTGGGATCAAAGGCGTGCGCCACCACTGCCTGGCTTTTTTTATGTATTTATTTATTTTTACAGTGTACTAAGGTAGGCACAACAGAGGTAAGTGATAAGAGCAAATGGTACCCATCCAGTCACGCCAATGGGAGAGGGGGCTAGGGTGAGGACCAAGTCTACTGCGGTGAAGATAACGAGTGAGACATTTGCTGGGCGTTTAGTGGGTACAGAGTACTGTGCTCAGAGGTTTCTAAGCAGTAGCTCATTTAACTCCCATAACCTATGAGGAATGTGGCCCATTGGGCTCAGTCAGTGACTGGCTCAAGACATAGCCAGAGATCCACAGAGAAAGCATTTGAATGCAGGTCTCTGGATTCAGAGCATATACCATTTAGCTATTATATAGTCCCGGGGAGGTAAAAGGAGGGGAGGGAGGAAGGGAGGGAGGAGTTAGGCCAGGATACACGTGTGTGACAGACAGCAGGATGGGCTCCATTCTCTCCTCTGTGTGGAGGGCTTTCTTTGCCTCCCCATAACACACAGCCAGAAGAGGCAGTCTCTACCTTTGGAGCCAATGCCTGAACCTGACTCCATGGCATCAACTGCAAACTGAATGTCCTGGGGGCCAAATATGAACAGCAGCAACCAACAGCAAACTGCTTAGCCTGTGGTATTTAAAAGAAAGAATGCCTGGAATTTAAAAACTGGGGAATTCTACATAAGAAAATTGGAATATCTGACAAGGGCCTAAATTTCCATGGCAACCATCTGCCAGCGCAGAGTGACAGCTGCTGCATGTAGCCAAGGCACATGCTCTCCAGGGCCACAGTAGCTGCCACTCCTCTTCATTACTTCCGTGGCATTTGAACCGCAGTCACTCTAACTGAGTTTCAGAATCCAGCTGGGGTCGAGTGTGCACCTCCTGTTCCCAACCCTGTGGCCACAGCGGGAAAGGCTTCAGTGAGATCAATAAGAGGTCCAGTGGATCCCTTCCAGCAAGACCTATGCACCCCAGTGGCTTCTTACAAACAGGACTGTCATGGGGCAGACACCCCAAGAGTTGTTTAGTTCAAGGGAAAGGAAATTAAGGCCTAGAGCCCACTCATTACACAAAATATGCTATAATCCAGGTTTTAGGTCACAATGGAGGCTTCTAGAAACAGAAGGCAGAAACAGTAGGCTTGGAGGAGAGAAGGAGAGATTAATTTATGCAATGTTAAAAGCGTGGTGTTTGAGTTGAACTGGAAAGGGGCAAGCCCCCTGCCTTAGGCAATAGGTTAAAAGGTGGTGCATCAAGATTGGAAACAGGGGAAAAGGCACAATAGCGCATGCCTGCAATCCCAGCACTTTAGGCAGGAGAACTATGACTCCTGAGTCTGTCTGAGCTATGTAATGAGACTGTTTCACAGAAAAGGGGTGGGAGAGGGGCCTAGATGAAATACAGCTGATAAAGTACTGGCCTAGCACACATGAAACTCTGGGTTTGTAGCTCCCCAGAACTTCATAAGCCAGGCTTGGGGTCTTATGCCTATAACTTAGGGAGTGGAAACAGAAAAATCAGAAGTTCACGGTCATTCACAGCTATATAGTGAGTTCAAGGTTAGCCTAGGCTACAAAAGACCCATCTCAGAAAACAAAAACAACAAGCCAACACATGCTTTTAACTTTAACAATCCGAAAGGTAGAGGCAGGCAGATAGATCTCTGCTAGTTCCAGGCCACAGGACCCTATCTCAAAATAAAAATGAGAACAACTCCCCCCCTCTCCCCTCCCCTCCACAAACAAACCAAAAAAAGACTGAGATCGGCAGGAAGGGAGCAGGTCTGGAGAGGAGGTACAGAGGCTGGCTTTGGTGATTTTTGGCAATGTTGAGTTTGCTGTGCTGAGTACAGGGTCGTACAGATAGGGTAACATGGTAGCAATCACCCTTCGGAGAAAAATTAGAGCTTGATATATGGACTAAGTACCCACGAGGAGGGAAGAGTCAAAGCCATCACACAGGCTAACTGTGGGAAGGATGAGGAGGGCAGGAGGAGGGGACTAACTGCAGAACTGTGAGGAACAAGGCTTAGTGCTAAGCCTGGAGCACAACCTGAGTACACATAGTACACATAGTACTCCACGGGTGGAGTCCTTGCAGAAGTCCAGCAGGGATAGTTTTTGTTGTTGTTGTTGTTGGTTTGTTTTTCAAGACAGGGTTTTTCTGTGTGCCTTTGGAGCCTGTTCTAGAACTCACTCTGTAGACCAGGCTGACCTCCAGCTCACAGAGATCTGCCTGCCTCTGCCTCCCAAGTGCTGGGACTAAAGGCGTGCACCTGGCTTTAGCAGGGATAGTTTTAAGGTGGCAGGATGTAGTGGCTTACATCTCTAATTGTACCACCTGAGAAACTGAGGCAGAGGATCACTTAAGAGTTAGAAGTCATCCTGGCCTACAGAGTTAGACCCTGTCTCAGTGGGGGATTGGCTCAATTGGTAAAATGGTTACTATTCAAGCATGAGTTCAATCTCCAACACCCACATAAAGTCAGGTGTGGTGGCATGCACCTGTCATTCCAGCACTGGGGAGGTGGAGACAAGAGGATCCCTCCAGCTTGCTGGCCAGTTAGTCTAGCTAAATTGTGAGCTCCAGGTTCAGTGAAAGGCACTGTTTAAAAAAAAAAAAAAAAAAAAAAAAGGTGGAGAGCAATTCAGATAGCTACCCATCGACCTCTTGCCATGTTTGTACCTATATGTCCCAACCCAAAATAATATGCTGTCAAGAGTGCCAAGCACTGGGCTGGAGAGATGGCTCAGAGGTTAAGAGCACCAGCTGCTCTTTCAGAGGTCCTGAGTTCAATTCCCAGCAACCACATAGTGGCTCACAACCATCTGTAGTGAGATCTGGTGCCCTCTTCTGGAATGCAGGCATACATGCAGGCAGAACATATAATAAATAAATACAAGTTAAAAAAAAAAAAAAAAAAGAGTGCCAAGCACTTAGAAAAGCTAAGGCATGGAGGTGACCTTTAGATCTTGGCAATTATCAGTCCATCAGTGAGTGTGATCAGAAGGTGTTCGTGGGATAGCTGAGCAGAAACCAAAGAGGCTTGGGATCGAATGGGCAGTGAGGATGGGAGTTAGTCAGTTCTTCCAGCAGTGGGGAATAGGGGAAAAAGAGAGTCATCTAAAAGTAAATAGTCAGAGGCAGGGCAGGAGGATCTCTGTGAGTTCAAGGCCAGCCTGCCAGCCTGGTCTGCATAATGAATTCCAGGTCAGCCAGTGGTACAAAGTGAGACTCTTGTCTTAAAAAAAAAAAAAAAATGAGGGGCTGGAGAGATAGATCCGTGGTTAAGAGCACTGGCTGCTTTTCCAGAGGACCTGGGTAGCTCACACTGTCTGTAACTCCAGTTCCAAGGGATCTGACACCCTTACACAGACATACGCCTAGGCAAAACACCAACACACACAAAATAAAATAAAAAAAGCAAAACAGAAGGGCCTAGGCCTGGCCCAGGATGATGTGGTAGATGATGTGGTAGACTTTGGGGAGCCCCTTTTGAGGGCCTTACCCTGTCTGGGGAGTGGAGGGGGGGATGGCTAGGGGCAGGTGGGATGTTGGGGGGGAGGGGAGGAAGAGGGAGAGGGAGAGGGAGAAAGGATTGACATCTGAAGCAAGCATGTTCCTAATTTGAACTAATTAAATTAAATTAAAAAAAAAGCAAAACAAAAAGCAGAGTTTGTGTCAAGTCAGGCAAGGGTGTGGCTGCTGGCCAGAGACCCAGGTGTCACTGACACCTTGCTCTGGGAACTCCCAGCACCTCTTCCCAGGTGTCAGATGCTGGTTTGTTTGTGTTGTCCACAGTGAAAGCTCATTGGAGGGGCTCACAGTTGAGAAGGTCCCAGCCCTGTGGCTGGGATTTCCCCTCTCTGCCTTGAGTTTCCTTGATCTGATTATCTTGGGCTTGTCTTGCTGGGTGACTCAGGCGCTTGAGCAAGTTTAGGTACTAGGTTTCACAGCTCTGGGGGTGGGGAAACCTGGTCTCTCCTGGGAAATAGTCATTAGATATTGACAAAAGCATCACTGTCAGGCTCCAGCTTCAGAAAAAGACTCTCCAAGCCTTGATTCTTATCAAATAAAGTAACAATACCATCATCTAGTGCAGGACTTCTCACCCTGGGGTCCACCACACACACACACACACACACACACACACACACACACACACGCTGCATATCAGATGTCCTGCCTATCAGTTATCTACATTAAGATTCATAACAGTAGCTAAATTGCAGTTATGAAATAGCAGCAAAATGAGTTTATGGTATGTGTGTGTGGGGTCACCACAACATGGAGAACAGTATTAAAGGGTTACAGCTCTAATGGGCTATTGAGAGATTGTAACATTGCCAAGGAAAGGCTCTGCGGCCCAGAGGCCGGTCTGTGAGGTGAGCTTTCACCATTTGTCTTTTGCCAGGACGAAGGTGAGAGTCTGTCAGATGAAATCGCTTGCCTGGGGCAGCTAGCAAATAACTTCCCACATCCCATGTCCGGAACCACTATGCGCCCTGCTCTTCTAAGAATGTCTCCAGGAGACCCAGCCAAGACTACGGCTGAGGACCAAGTGTCCCCTTCCAAGAAGCTGCTTTTCCGCTAGTTGGGCTGACAGGGAAGAGATGCGCCTCTAAGCTGCTTCTGAGGCGCCCATCACTGGAAGACCCCTTGTGGTAGCCTCCTCTACACAGCTTAGATAAAGAGTCTATTAGCTTCCCCAGAGCGGGTTCTGGAAGCTGGATCTGGCACGAAGCAGAAGTCAGCCCCTCAGCGGTGCCTCTTCCTTCAGCCTACCATCCTCGCCCCTCCCACTGGATTCCCGACACTGGATTTCTCTCGCCAGCGTCCCTGAGCCCAGGGCACAGGATCATTTCTTCCTAAACTGTCCCTGGAGCCAGGGCAGTTATGCATCCTGCCCGCCACTGTTGTCAGTGCACACTTGCAGAGGTTTCTGTGGAATTCAGGCTTCAGTAAACACTTGAGAAGGAGGAAGTGGGCCAAGAAATCCGAGGACGATTGCATCAGGACTGGCGCACACTGCCCTTTCCCATCTCCGTCTCTGAGAAGCCCTCCCTCTTTGTCCTGGAGGGGCGGGGAGGCAATTAAGGCCTTGGACCATCCCCTGGCCTTCTCTGGGCCCCCTGGTCTAGGGGAGAGGCTAATGCTGGTGAGGAGGGGAACGCTGAAGATGGGCCTCAGGTGTGAATTGTATGTGGCCTTCTGGACCTGGAGTTTGAAAGCTGCAGAGGGCAAAAGTGAAAGAGTCCAAAAAGGCTGGGAAGCTGTGTTTCTGGAGAGGCAGCCAGAAGCCAGGCTCCATACACGTGAAACAGTAACTGCGGTGCCAGCTGCAGTCCAGCTGCGGAAACAGTGGCTGCTTGGTCAGGGGCGCTGATTCGGAAGCAGCCACCTTTTGTATACTGACCCTGCTGGTTCATATGCCGTATCTTAGAATCCCAGCAAGACTCCTCGGGATTGGTATGATTAGGACCATCCTTTTACAAGTAAAGACACTGAAGAGTTGAAGTTCAGAGCTATCTAAGGTTACCAAGTGGAGTTTTGGATAGTCTGGGTCTGTGTGCTGAGTGTGAATGTTTTGTGTGTGTGTGTGTTGTTTTTTGTTGTTGTTTTGTTTGTCTGTTTGTTTTTCCAAGACAGGGTTTCTCTGTAGCTTTGGAGGCTGTCCTGGAACTCGTGCTGTAGACCAAACTTGGCCTGGAACTCACAGGGATCCGCCTGCCTCTGCCTCCTGAGTGCTGGGATTAAAGGCGTGCACCATCATTTCTCAGATGGTTGTTTTTCTAGGCAGGGACTTGCTGAAAATTCCAGGCTGGCTTCAAACTCATTACCCTCCTGCCTTGGTCTCCCCAGTCCCAGGATTATAGGAAGCACCCTTATGCCTGGCTCTTCTCACGCTTAGTTTTGTTGAGCCCACATACCTAACTCCTAAGTGCTTGGCTTTTCCTGAGTCCCTCTCAGTTCAGTTTGGGTTTTACATCTTTCTGTTTTCCCAGGAATCGAGAGAGACAGCACCTAGAGAGGCCTGGTGGCAGGGTGAGGTTGGATTGCTAGTTCAAAGAGAGCCTGGGCTATGCAGTGAGACACCATCTCAAAATGAAAAAAAAAGAAAAAAGGTGTGTGTGTGTGTGAATAGCTCAGCTTAGTAATGCAGAGCTTGCTAGTGAGCTTCAGGCCTTAAATTCAATCCCAGGTACAGAGAGGGGGGACCAGTACCTGCTTTGTTGCTTTTCATTCTGGCTCATATTATCTGTCCTCTTGACTTTCCCTCCAATCTGCCAGTACTTGAGCCAGGGCAGGTTTGAATGAAGACACATGGATTCCTGGAGGAGTTGCAAATTTGAACCCAGGTCTATTGGGCTCCATCAAAGCTTTTTCCATCCATCCTCTGCCTCCATTCTAGGTGCCTTGGCCAGTGAGGTCTAGTAGAGGAACGGAGAAACAAGGAGCCAAGGAAGCAGGCAGAGGAGATCAGGATCCTGTCCCCTCTTCTCTTCTTCCATTTTACAGAAGCCGGGGAGAAATATGAAAACTCAACTGTGCCCTGCACCAGCCTCCGCCCCCAAGTTAAGGAACACAAAAGGTGAGGGTAATACAAAAGTGTCACCATGGTAACAGCAGTGCCAGGTGTGTTGGGGAATACTTAGTTTCTGGAGCTTGGAGGAGAAGGCCTGCCCAGAGCCTGGCTGAGGAGCTACAGGGAGCAGCATTTCATTTGTCCTCCGTAATGGGACATTATGGGAGACGTTTGCTTTTCATTGCCTCCATTTTCTTCTAAGTAGAAGGGGAGGAAAAAAACCATTTTCCTTCCTTTCCCACCTACTCAGAGAAATGCCAGGAGACGTGAGCATTCCCTTCAGAGCCGCCGCTGGTCATGAAACCCCATCATCACTTAAATCGCCCTATTTTAAAGGTTTGTGAAAACTGCACCAAATTGATTTTCCCCTCATCTCTTCCCTCTGTGATTTCTGCGGTCTCTCTTCTTTAGAACTGCATTTCCTCAGAGCAGGACAGCAAGTGTAGATGGATACTTGAGGTATTCTGTGGTTTGGGAGCCAGAAAAAAAAAAAAAAAAAAAAAAAAAAAAAAAAAAAGGGGTTTTTAGAGAGTACCAAGTTCCTGTCCAGAAAAATAAAGAGGGTTTTAGAGGGTACCAAGTTCCTGTCCCCTCCCACCTTATTCATCTCTCTGTATTTATTTTTATCCAGGATCTGTTGCAAAGGATTTGGCTTGAAGATTCTAAACTCTATTTAGCTCCAGGCCTTAATCACTGCGGAGCTGAGAATTTTATAATCACAAAGATGGAAGAATCCTAGAGGTCAAGTGGCTCAGAGATTCTCCAATGTTTAGACTTTATCAAAATTTAAAGTTTGGAAAATGAAGAGGGAGATGTCTAAGAGCTTTTAAGTCTGGAAAAACACAACTATCAAATAAACGCAACTATCTTGTGTGGCAACTGTCACTTTACATTTGTAGACTCAAACAGGAGGATGGTTACATTTTTACATTAGTGAGGCGGCCTTAAACAGAAGAAATTCAACACACACGTACACACTTTGAGCAGGGACATGGTGGCACATGCCTGTAATCCCCAGCACTTGGAAGGTGGAAGCAGAAGAATCAGGCACTCAAAGTCATCCTCAGTGACACAATAAGTTCAAGGCCAACTTGGCTTTATGAGATGAAAAAAATTCACCACTATTGGTATTTTTCTTATTTCATGCATTAGCTCCAGACAGAGGGTGAACATTTGAAAACTACTGACCTGTTTACTGTTCATTTGTTTTCAAGACAAGCTTTCTCTGCATGGCCCTGGCTATTATGAAACTCTGTAGACCAGGCTGGCCTCAAACTCACAGAGGTCCACCTGCCTCTGCCTCCCGAGTGCTGGGACTAAAGGCGTGTGTCACCACCACCCAGTTTACATATTTTTATTTATGTATATTTGTTATGTCTGTATGAGTGCATTCACATTGTGCAGATGCCCTTGAAGGCCAAGAGAGCATCGGATCCCCAGCTGACATAGGTTCTGGGAACCAAATTTGGGTCCTCTCGAAGAGCAGCACATACTTTAAATCCTTGCCCTGTTTCTCCAGCCCCTGGTTTGCTTTCTGATTGGTATCTCTTGGAGATAGCATTTTCTCCTCTTTGGTTAGCTCTGGTAGCTGGTTTTCCCACTTCCTTCCCTTTGTGTAGGGATAAGTGCAAGCTGGGAGTGAGCCAAGGCCTAAGTGAGGGTGTATTTTGACATTCAAATGTTCATGTTGAGAACTCTAAGGCCTCAGACCTATGGGACAATTCAGCAAAGCCCATATGGGTCAGGCTCAAGAGAAATGGCAAGGCTTTCTTTGGGAGTCCAGTATGAGTGTTTACGAACCATTGACCAGTGTGAACAAAGACTGACAATGTGGCTTCCCCCTCCCTGATGTCACAGCAGGCTGCTCATCTATAGGGATCCGCTACCAAGAGCAGCTCACCCCTCCCTATGTGCTGAACATAATTAACTCATCGAGGTCCCAGCAGAGGTCAGAGAATCCACCTGACCTTAGATTTACTGTATGTGTGTCTGCCCTTTCTTCATTCCTTCGCTGCCCTAGCCAGATTTCCAGGACCCCGAGTCACATGGAGTGGTGCCTTTGATGAATCAAGCTGTGACTACTCCTTACCTTTCTCTTATGCCCTTCTCCCCTCCAGGCAGACTACATGTCTCTTCCTTATACTTCTGCAGTTACCATTTGTGTTTTCCCATTGTAGGGTGCTATCATCACCCTGATACAATAATGTCAATTTCTTTTTAAACATTTTAAAATTACATTTAGTGTGTGTGTGTGTGTGTGTGTGTGTGTGTGTGTGTGTGTGTGTGTGCACATTTGTGCCTTGGTATGCATGTAGAGATCAGAGGACAGTTTACAGGAATTGGTTCTCCCACCATATCCCACCATATGGTCCTGGAAACTGACCTCCTGTTGTCAGGCTGAGCCCAATATCACTTGGGCCTTCTCTTCTTTTTTTGTTTTGTTTTGTTTTTGAGACAGAGTTTCTCTGTGGCTTTGGAGGCTGTCCCAGAACTAGCTCTTTTAGACCAGGCTGGTCTCGAATTCACAGAGATCTGCCTGCCTCTGCCTCCCTAGTGCTGGGACTAAAGGCGCGCGCCACCATCGCCCAGCGGGCCTTCACTTCTTGAAGACAGAATGCACATGTCTTCACTACTATATGCTCAGGCCCATCATGAGGTAGTTCATTAATAAATGTTGACTAAAGGGATGAACTTCATCCACCAGATTAATGATGTCATGAAACCCTGGGACTGACGGCCCTGAAAATAATGACCATTCTGCGCATGGTGGTGCTTGTCTATAATCTCAGCACTTGGAAGACTGAGGAAGGGGGAGCCAAAGTTGAGGCTGGGGCTGGAGAGAGGCTCAGAAGCTTAGAGTACTGGCGGCTCTTGCAGAGAGCCTGGGTTCAATTCCCAGCACCCACATGGCAGCTCACACACCTCCAGCTTCAGAGGATCCTGTGCCTTCTTTTGACCTCTGAGGGCACCAGGCGTGCACATGGTAGACATACCATACATGCAAGCAAAGCACTCACACCCATAAAGATAAATAAATCTTAGGAAAAAAAAAAGAGTTCAAGGCAGTCTGGTTACATAGGGCCTTGTCTCAAACAAAAAGCAACAAAGAAAGAAAATAATGAACATTTGTTAAATATATATCCCCCAACTTCTAAAACACGTGTATTTTTAATTGTCTGAGCTTATGAGGGAGGTGTGTACATGTGAACGTGGATGCCTTAGGAGGCCACTGTCAAGTCCCTTGGAGCTGGAGTTACAGGTAGTTGTGAGCTGTCTGACATGGTGCTGGGAACTGAACTCAATCCACAGTATGAATTCATAAGCTCGGAGCCATCTTCCCAGTCCCTGCCTCTTTTTCATTTTTATTTTGACTTTACTTATCTCTATGTGTACAGGTGTTTTACCAGCTGTTATGGAATGATCTTTTTGTACATTTTGAAGATGTGTCTTTTCCAAGGTGCCTCTTATTGGTTTAATAAGAGAGCTGACTGGTCAATAGCTAGGCAGGAAGAGGTTAGGCAGGAGAGCCAGACTGAGAGGATGCTGGGAAGAAGAAGAGCGGAGTCATGGGTTGCCAGCCAGACACATGCAGGAGATGAACATGCTGTGCTGAAAAAGGTACTGTCACATGGGAGAGCAGAGATAAGAAATACGGGTCAACTAAGTTGAAAGAGCTAGTTACTAACAAGCCTAAGCTATCAGCTGAGCATTTTTAATTAACATCAACTCTCTGTGATTATTGGGGAGCTAGCAGTCCTGATGAAAGACTCTGCCCATAGTCAGCACATATCTACATACATGCAGGCATGCATGCCCTTCGTGTGACGAAAAGAGAGCATCAAATCCCCTTGAATTTGAACTACAGATGGTCGTGAGCTGCCATGTGGGTGCTAGGAATGGAACTGGGCCCTCTGCAAGAGCAATGGTGTTCTTAACTGCTCAGCCATCTATCCCAGCCCCAGGTCCTCAAGCTATAGGTGATGAACATATATGGGGCCTCATAACTGAATGTGGGAAGCCATGAAAAAATTGGCAACAGTAAAATGCTTCTGAATGTCCATTGACCCAAAATTAATTCAGCATCACATGAATCCAAAGGTTGCATTGTCAAAGTTCACTATAACTTGGTTCTGATCATACAACATGTATTTATATAGTGTATATACAGTCAGGCCACACAACGCCAACATTTGCTTGAAACAACTTGGCTTAGATCTAAGATCAATGTTATGAACTGCAGCATTTTACTGTACATACAAAGTTTCTGCTCTTACAAAAACATAATGATTTAATTACAGAAAGCAAAGACCTAATATTTTCTTACCATCTTTCCTTAGCTGTAAGTATCAAATTAATATATCTTTGGATTGTACTGTGTTAGAATGCTTGGCAAGAAAAATTGCTGACTTGAGTTTCATTTTAAAAAATCATTAAATGAAGCAGACGGTGGTAGTGCACACCTTTAATCCCAACACTCGGAAGCAGAGGCAGGCAGATCTCTGTGAGTTCGAGGCCAGCCTGGTCTTAGGGCGAGTTCCAGGATAGGCTCCAAAGCTATAGAGAAACCCTGTCTTGAAAAACAAAACAAAAACCAAAATCATCAAATGAGGCCTGGCATGGCAGTACACAGGTATAGGCAGCATCAGGAGTTCAAGGCTATCCCAGTTGCATAGTAAGTTGAAGGCCAGCCTGTGCTACATAAGACTCTGTTTTAGTGTATCCCCTTTCCCAAAAAATAAGTGTAAATTTCTATTGCCATTTTTTTCTTTATTTTATTCTGGTGAGCATGGACCTTCTTTCTACTGTTCATGCCCGCCCTGGCTCATATGTGGAGGTCAGAAGACAACTTGTGGGAGCCTGCTCTCTCCATTCATTATGTGGGTCTTGGGGATTAAATCAGGTCTCATCAGGCTTAGTGGCAAGCACCTTTATGTTGTGGAACAATCTGTTCCTACACTGTGAATATTTGTTACTCTCATTGGTTTGATTAAGGGCTGAATAGCCAATAGGTAGGCAGGTTGAGGTTAGGTGGGACTTTCGGACAAAAAGAGAACACGGTAAAGAGGGTGGAGTTGACAGACTGGAGAGAGGCAAGATGAGTATGTGGTGCTGAAAAAAGGTACTACTGTGTGGTAGAGCATCCATAAGAAATATGGGTTAATCCGGGCGGTGGTGGCACACACCTTTAATCCCCACACTTGGGAGGCAGAGACAGGTGGATCTCTGTGAGTTTGAGACCAGCCTGGCCTATAAGAGCTAGTTCCAGGACAGCCAGAGCTGTCCTGTTTCCTGTCTCAAAAAAACCAAAAACCAAAAAACCTGAAGCATGTCTTGTCAGGTGCAGTGGTGCACATCTGTAGTCCCAGGTACCAAAAAGGCTCTGGTAGGAAGGTCACAAGATGGAGGCTAGCCTGAGCAACAGTGAGATCCTGCCTCAAACAAACACCCCCAAAAACATCAATAGAAGAAAAGGCTCTCTGTTCTGACAGGGATCCTAACTGAATTCCTTCTCCATGAGTCGATTCCCCCTAAACCTTATGTCAGGCCCTCAATATCTCTTGGTGATCTGGAGACCTCACTTTCTGGGTCTTTTTTTAATCCTAGCATTCCAGAGGAAGAGGCAGGCAGATCTCTGTGAGTTTGAGGCCAGTCCGATCTACGAGGGAGTTCCAAAACAGCCAGGGCTACACAGAGAAAAACCCTGTCTCAAAACAAAAACAAAAACAAAAACAGAAACAAAAATTTTACTTATTTTTAATTGTGCACATGAGTGCACGAGCACAGAAGTCAGAGGCATCCCCCTGCAACTCACCTTGGGATGGTGTGTGTGTGTGTGTGTGTGTGTGTGTGTGTGTGTGTGTGTGTGAGCTGAAATCAGG